TGAGACCCTGTCTCTAAATAAAATATGAAAAAGGGACTGGGGATGTTGCTCAGTGGTTAAGCAAACCCTGGTACCAAAAAAAAAAAAAAAGTGAGTCTAGCAACAAGCAAGCAATTTGTATTTGCCCAAATGGTATGTGCAGATCAAATCTTGGCAGACCAATTTAATTAATTTTTTTTAAATTTAATTATTTATTTTTGCATAGTAGGAATTGAACACAATTATATAGATGAGGAATGAGCAAGAGAAGCGATCTCTCTAGGTGGGAGCATCCCCTGAGACTCCATCTCAAGTGATTTTTTTTTTTCATCAACTAGATACAAGGAAATAAGTGAGACTATTTTCTCTCTTTAGTGCAAGTACTAAGAGCCAAATAATATCCCCGATAGGTGGCCAATCAATGATTCAGCCTCAACCTGGAAGGATCCTGCCTGACGTCACTCATGTCAGAGCAGACCCAGGAGGAACATCTCTAGCTTTGCCCCAGTGGTGTAACTGAGAACTTCCTGATTAAGATCACGGATGACTCCCAGTTGTAAGGTATTAGTCTATGAAGGTAGACATAGACATCAAAATAGCATTAAAAAGAAGGGTCGGTATTGGCTCATTCACTGGACCAGCAACCAGGGTCACCCATAGTTGCTGCCCAGGCAAGGCTCAAGACAGGGTGCCGGGTGCCCTGATGGGTTTAACGCATGTTGGCGATCCTGGATGCTGAAATGGAGCAAATTATATTCCATGTATGTGTGATTATGTCACATTGAACCCCACTATTTATGTATAGCTATTCTGTACTAATAAAAATATTTTAAAATATATTAAAGAAAAAGACAAGGATGCCAAAGAAAAGGGGCGGGGATACAGGCCTAGAAGATGGAGAAAGGGTAGGTCGGCGTGATACCACAATGTTCCGGAGTATGTTCAGAGTGGGAGCGGGTTCACTGGAATTCAAGGTCACTTTACAGTTAACAAAGAATTTGCTGAGCATGTCGTATATGCCAGGCTCTGTATGCAGGCTAGTGGGGTAGCAATGAATGAGACATTCAGAATCCTGCCTTCCCAGGTTCTTCTCCCTTGACCCAACCTCTTAATGTTGAAGGCCTTGTTCTGGGCCTTCCGCTGCTTCTTGTGCCCATCTGTACTTACTCTCTGGCCAATTTAATTCACTACCAAGACTTTCCATCCATCCATCCATCTGTCCTTTGGAGACTTCCACCCCAGATTCGTGCGCCCAGTTTTCTCTTTGTCCACTCAATAAAACACAAACTCAGTCCATCCAAAGCAGAATCTCTATTCTTCCTTCTCCCTGCTCAAACCTGCTGCTTTCCTGGTCTTTCTCATCCCTATTCACGGCTCCAAATATGGCCAAAAGGGAGGCACTGTCCTCGATTCCTTCATCCATGTCCTGTTGCTTCAGTCCTCCAGAAGTTAGAATCACACCACACAGCCTGAAAATGGAAGTCCTAATCGTCTCCCATTCTAAAGGTTGCTGAAAACAACTAGAACCAGAATAGACAACTCCCTCCTTGTCCCCAACTGTGACCTTAGTCAAACTAGCCCTGCCACCACCAACCCAAGGAGCAGACTGGGGAAGGAGAGATGGCCTTTGGGGCCTTGTGCCTTGGCAGTGAAGACTGCCTCCCTCACTGAGGGGAAGAGAAGAGATAAATTCCACAGTGACAGGGAGGCTCTGAGGCAGTGGGTAGCAGCCTCAATCTGGAGAGGCCAGAGGCCAACACTTTTTAGGATTTGCCAGCCATACAGTGTCCACCACAACTACCTAATACTGTCGTTGTGGTGTGAAGGCAGCTGTAGACAGTAAGGAATGGGACATAAATAAGCGAGCAAGGCTGTGTTCCAGTAAGACTTTATTTATGGGCACTTAAGCTTGAATTTCAGATGATTTTTCACATGTCACAAAATAGCATTTTTTCTTTCGATTTTTTTTTCAACCACTTAAAAAAGGTTAAGAACTGCTTTTAGCTTATGGGCTACACACAAAAACAGGGAGTCAACCAGATTGGCCTCTGGGCTGTAGTTCACGTCTTAATCCAAGAGGGCCACTCGCTGACATTACAGGGACCTGCTAGAAAGGGACCGTGACAGCTCGTTCCCTAGTAGGTGCCTAACAAGCCGCAGAGCTTCAGGCCCTCCCTGGAGTAGTCAAGGGTGGTAGAACAGTGTGTGGGTGTTTGTCCTTTGGAGGCTGGGGACACACATGAACAGCAGGACAGGGCCTGCTTCTTTACTGGAAGTTTCTAAAGGCAGGATGACTTTGGGGGAAGCAAACCCTTCCAGTAAGAGAAACAGGACTCATCCGCATTCAGTCTCTCCAAAATACTTTTGGTGCAGGGGGGTGGTTGTGCTGGGGATTGAACCCAGAATTTCCAATGCTGAGAGCCATAGCTAAGTAAGAATGACGCATGGCAATTTCCTTGTCAGCCTACCCCATGTTGCTTAGAAGGAGGACTCTCCATTGTGGAAATGGGCTTGCCTTGGACCCAGGTCATTTGCAGTGACATTGCATGAATGTTTGAGTAAGGTGACCCTGCTCAAGGACCAGGGCGGATCAGGGTTTAGGGCGGTTCCAGGTTTAAGGTGATTCCTGCTGGGAATAGGGCGTATCCTGCTGCCTCAGGCGCCCGCCCACTCCTTGAGTTCCTGTTGAGTTCTCGTGGGATTCAGAGAGTATTTGGGATTCAGAGCCTGGTGGAGAGTGTGGATTTTCCCCAGGACGTGAGTGTAGAGTGCCGGTGAGAGGTCAGGAATAAAGACTTGCTGTTTGAATCTACAAAGCTGTGAGTGGCTCGTGATTTTGTGCCCAGCCAGACTGCGGCATTCCAACATCAAAATACCCTGAGTCTTCTACATACTTGCTCTCTCTGCAATAAACTTGAACTGTAGCAACATAGTCGCAGGGGATGTACTGGGGGTGGCAAGCTTATGCATGGGTGTTCCTTTTAAAATGTCCACTATTGTTGGCATAATGGGAAAAAAAAGTTATTCAGATAACAGAAGATTGAGCACTGATACTGGCCAACAGGGGAGGCTGCAGAATGTCTGTCTTGGGATCTTTAAAACTATGAGCTACAGCCATCTGTTTTGGAGGTTTTGAGGTGAGCCCAGCCTCCCAGGAGGAGCTGGATAGATCCCAGCTGCAGTTTCCACTGTCTCTATCATTACAGGACACGTGCATAGGGAAGGGTAGTTAGAGCAAGCAGCTCTGTTTTCCTTTTCTCTGACAACAGACATGGTAAAGATTAACTCCCCAAATCCCTGTGTAACACTGAAAACCCAGCCAAAGAAGTTTCCTTTGAAATTGCATCTGCCTGCATAAAAGATGTGCAAAGCCTCATTTGAATATGGAAATAACTCCAATTATTTGAGTCTCTTTGATTGCTAAAAGATTTTTAAAGAGGAGCCAGGCACCATGGAACATGCCTGTAATCCCAGCAACTTTGGAGGCCGAGGCAGGAGGATCCTAAGTGCAAGGACAGACTGGGAAACTTAGCCAAAATTTAAAAATAAAAAGGACTCGGGATATAAATCAATGGTAAAGCACTCCTGGGTCAAACCCTCAGTACCAAAAATAAAACAAGATTTTTGAAGATGAAAAAGAAAAGGCATCCTAATATAACAAGGAATTTGTCAGAAAGGGATTGGTACAAACAAAACAATATTTTTTCCCTATAAAAGGGGTAGGCAGAGTTGGGAAATTGCACTTGTCTTCTTAGCCTTGAGGAGATACAGAGAGATTTTCTCGGGTCATAGGTTGCTCTGCATCAGGTGGCCCCAGAGTCTCAGCTCAATGTCGCTAAGTTGAGCCATTTTCTCTCTGGTTGACAAGTTTTCCTGGCACTAAAAATCCCTGCAAATTCAAATGTAATTGACAAATGTCATGGATGTCACAGCAAAATTCAGTGTGGTTTGCTCTCTTGGGGCTGACTTCAAACCACTGATTGACAAGAGCTAAACTTCAGCTTTTGCTTTAAAAATTAGACCACATAATAGATTATTAAAAATAACACAGGGATAGGTATTATGTAAAATTTCCTATTTCAAAAAGAGAGAAAAAATTACTAGCTATTACCTTTTCATAGCTGATTTTATTTGCAGCTCTGTGATACTTTTTATGCTATGTCATTATCAATCAAGACACCCAGATAAATTACTTAACAGAGAGGCAATAGAGAGCTGCTCATGCAACCACCCAGCTGAGAAGAGCTTCTGTCTACTCTTTTCTTTCCTGGCAGACAGAATTGTGTGGTCTACAGTTGCTCTCATGTCCATTGATCTGAAGCCGTTGTGCAAATGTTTGTTTTTTTTTTTAAAGCTGGATTTCCTTCTCTCCATTGTAGCATGGATAATTATGAAAAGATGGAGAAAAAGAGAAGCATCACTTTTTATAATCATTGGTATTCATTGATCATCCAGGACATCCCTGCCTCTGAGCATGCCTGGTTCCCACTTCCAACAGCTGCCCAAGTAGGCATTCTTCATCCCTTTCTACAGCTGTGTACACTAAACTGGAGGAAGTTAAGTCACTTGTCTGGACTCATACTTCTGGTATGAAGTGGAGCCTGGCTTCCAGCCCAGCTCTCTGCCTCCAGGCCTCACGCTAGCCACTGTTCAGCTGCCTGGCTAAGAACATACCCAGCGTTGGCCAAGCATTTTCCGTGACTGTCCCGGTAGCACATTGATTTGCCTCCCTACATAAACCTCTTCCCACTTAAAAAAAAAAAAATACTGCTCTTCACTGTAATTGTACCATGATGACCTTACAGAGAATTTTCAAACATAAGATGTGCTATTGTTTCAATATAGCTTGTCCCCACCACAACTCACTGGAGGCCTGATTCCTCTGTGGCAGTATTGGGAGGTGGAGCCTCGTGGGAGATGCTTGGATCATGGAGGCAGAAACCTCAAGAACCGGTTAATGTCTCTCTGGTCAAATAGGTGAGCTATTGCAGAAATTCAACCCTTTTTTCTCTCTGTGCCAGACCTGCTTGTCCATCTGTTTTGCCACCATGCATGGAACAATGAGATCCTCACCAAAAGCTGAGAAGATACCAGCACTATGTCCTTGGACTTTCCAGCCTTCAACCAGAACTGTAAGCTAAATAAACTATTTTTCTATAATTAACCGGCATCAGGTATTCTGTTGTAGCAACAGAAAACAGACTAAGAGAGGATGTCTCTCACTCTCTTAACTGTTGGCAGTTTTTCTATTTCCTTCCAGTTTTCCTTTATGTGGGTTTACTGTATTCACCACATAATCATTACAGAATTTTATGCCAATTTTTTTTTTTTGCAAACACATGAGGTGTGGCCATTATCTGAAACTTAAAAAAAAAAAAAAAAAAAAGGGACTGTGCGTGTGGCTCAGTGGTAGAGTACTCACCTAGCATGCACAAGGCACTGGGTTCGAGCCTGAGCACCACATAAATGTAAAATAAAGATATTGTGTCCACCTAAAACTTAAGAATAAATATTTAAAAAAAAAAAAGTGCCAGTATTAAAGATCATTTATTGGGCTGGGGATGTGGCTCAAGCGGTAGCGCGCTCGCCTGGCATGCGTGCTGCCCGGGTTCGATCCTCAGCACCACATATAAACAAAGATGTTGTGTCCGCTGAAAACTAAAAAATAAACATTAAAAAATTCTCTCTCTAAAAAAAAAAAAAAAAAAAAAGATCATTTATTGGGGTTGGTGTTGTGGCCCAGTGGTAGAGCATGTGCCTTGCACATGTGTGGCACTGAGTTCGATCCTCAGCACCACATAAAAAATAAATGAAGGTACTGTGTCTATCTACAACTGAAAATATTCATGTATTTTTTAAAAAGGTAATTTATTATTAAACTGTCTCTGATGCAAGATTAGGATGCATGGAATACTTGTGAATATATGTTAAAATTGAATAGTCCAAATGAACACACATTATTTCTTTGTGGCAGTTTAGAGAACATTTTCCCAGTGTGAAAAAAATAACCACATTGGTTGTTATTGATTTGTTCAGTATAATCAAAATATTAATCTTGAGAAAACTACTACAGGGTTGCAAAGTATGAATATAAAAATTTAATCTTCTGTGTCTGAAGATTCTGCCTCACCACGATCGCATTATCTGATGAGACAGACATCCTCAGGGCCACTCAACTCCTAAACGGGCTGGTGGGCTTTTTCAAATGTACTGACAATGCGCATGTGCTGAGCATTCCAGGTTCGCCCTACCAGTGTTGGAGAAGACAAATGCGCATGTGCCATGATGAATACATCACTGCTCTGTTTACTTTTTAAGTGGCCTGAGAAACAGAATTAGACCATTCAAATTCTAAGCCAAAAAAGGTATGCCGGAGGCATCACAGTATCTGACCTCAAATTATACTACAGAGCCACAGCAACCAAAACTTCACAGTACTGGCATAAAAACAGACACATGGACCAATGGTACAGCACAGAAGACACAGAGACAAACCCACATGTTTACAGTCATATGACCCTTGACCAAAGTGCCAAAAAACATACATTAGAGAAAATGGTGCTAGGAAAACTAGTTATTCATATATAAAAGGATGAAACTAGAACTCATCTCTCATTCTACACAAAAATCAACTCAAAATGGATCAAAACCCTAGGAATTTAGACCAGAAACTATGCAACTCCTAGAAGAAAATGTAGGGTCAATATTCCAGCATATGGGCAGGCAACTGCTTACTCAATAGGAACCCCAAAGCTCAGGAAATAATGCCAAGAGTTAATAGATGGAATGGCATCAATTAAAAAGCTTCTGCACAGCAAAGAAACAATTAGAAATGTGCAGAGAGAGCCTATAGAATGGGAGAAAATCTTTGCTAGTTACTCTTCTAACAGAGGATAAATATCTACAATATATAAAGAACTCACAAAACTTTACACTAAAAAAAAATCAAATAACTCAATAAATGGGCAAATGAATTAAAAGATACTTCTCAAAAGAAGGACTACAAAAGGCCAATAAATATATGTAAAAAATGTTCAACATCATCAGCAATCAGGGAAATGCAAATTAAAACTACACAGATTTCATCTCACACCAATAAGAAGGGCAGTCATCAAGAATACAAATAATAATAAATGCTGGATAGGACGTAGAAGAAAAGGAACATTTATACAGTGTTGGTGTGATTGTAAATTAATACAACCACTATAGAAATCAGTATGGAGGTTCCCCAAAGAGTAGGCATGGAATCACCATAGGACCCAGCTATATCACTATTCAGTATTTATCCTGAAGAATTAAAGTCTTTTACTACAGCACAATTCACAAGAGCCAAACTATGGAACCAGCCTATATGTCCATTAACACATGAATGGATAAGGAAAATGTGGTATATGTACAAGTTGAGTTTTCTTCAGCCATAAAGAAAAAGGAAATTATATTATTTGCAGGAAAATGAATAAAACTAGAGAAGATTATTGTTTTAGTTTTTTTTTTTCTTCTGTGACTAAAGGGCCCAACCAGAACAACTGTAGAGGAGGAAAAGATTATTTGAGGACTCACAATTTCAGAGGTCTTAGTCAATAGAAGGCCAGCACATTCCTCAGGGCTCTAGGTGAGGCAGAACATCATGGCGGAAGAGTGTAGCAGAGGGAAGCAGCTCACGTGATAATCAGAAAGCCTAGAAAGAGACTCCACTCTCCAGATACAAAATATATACCTCAAAGTCACGCCCCCAATTAACCACTTCCTCCAGCCACACCCCACCTGCCTCCAATTACCACTCAATTAATCCCATCAGGGATCAATTCACTAATTAGCTTAAGGCTATAACCCAGTCATTTCTCCTCCAGATCTTCTTGCATTGTCTCACACTCGAGCTTTTGGAGGACACCACATCTAAAGCATAACAATTATACTAAGCAAAATAAGTCAAACTAGAAGGTCAAGGTCATATGTTTTCTCTCATATGCAGAAGCTAGAGAGGAAAGAGGAAAGAAAGATGGGGGCAGATCTCATAAAAATCAAAGGAGATCAGTAAAGGAAAGGGATCTAGGGGTGGGAGATTGGGAGGGAGGGAAGTGCTGGGGAGTGATATTGGCCATTTATGTTCAAATATGTAACTACAAATCCCATCGCTATGTACAAATATAATGCACCAATTTAAAAATGTGGGGAGGGCTGGGGATGTAGCTCAAGTGGTAGCACGCTCACCTGGCATGCGTGCGGCCCGGGTTCGATCCTCAGCACCACATACAAACAAAGATGTTGTGTCCACCAAAAACTAAAAAATAAATATTAAAAAATTCTCTCTCTCACTCTCTCTTTAAAAAAAAATAAAAAATTAAAATTAAAAAAAATAAAAATGTGGGGAAAAGGGGCTGGGGTTGTGACTCAGTGGTACAGTGCCTGCCTAGCACATGTGAGCAATGAAAGGTCATAAACCAGTTTTGGACTGAAAAAACAGAATGCAGCAATTATGTTGTAGTGATGATTATGTGATGAAATACTGTAGCACATGTTTTTAAATGTCAAAAATTATATGTCCTTCTTTGTGTGTTTAACTTAATATAATGAACACATTTCTATTTCCACATATACTTTATAATTATTCGTTCAACAACTGTATAGAACTCATCAACTTAATATAGTCCCATTTCTTAAACTATTTCTCTTCTTTTGAATTGTTTATCATGTTTCCCTGATATGACTAATGTTATATAAACTTTTTTTCTAGTCTATACCCTTTCTCCATTCACTAAGATTTTTCTTTTTCTTTTTTCTTTTGGTGCTGGGGATAGAACCCAGGTCCCTGTGCATATGAGGCAAGCACTCCACCCCTGAGCCATACCTCCAGCCCCTCACTGAGATTTTTCTTTAGGCCAAATTCCCAAAAGCATAATTATAGAGCCAAAGCACCTGAGTATTTTATGTTTGTCTCTCTTTCTTGCATCCTGAATACTTATTTATAATTTTTGACATTCTTCCTCTCAACTCCTAAGCATGACCTGGGAGTCAATCACTTGCTTTCCCTTCTACTTGGCTGGTATTAGGTTATACTGGAGATTGCTCACCAAGCTGCTACCAATTTCTGAATGTAAGTTAGACTTGTTGAAAAATCCTGTGTATCCCATTTAAGTAGCAGGCCAGAAAGATTATAATAGTATTATAATCTATTAAAAGATTATAATAGATTATAATAGCTACTCAGTGCTGGCAGGAGTATAAGGCAACACACATCCTAATTAATTTCACTGGGTATAGACTGGTACCTCTGTGAAAGGTAATTTGGCCACATGTAGGAAAGGCATTAAAATGTGTATGTAGTATATTTACTAAGTGTCACTTAAAAAAAAGAAAATAAAACTTGAAAAACTGTGCACCTTTAATTCAATCATTTTCTTTTTATTACTATTCTAAAGGAGGTAGCCAAGGTAGGTACAAACATTTAGCTACAAGCATATTCTTTACAGCTTAACTTAAAATAGCAAAATTAGAAATAAATTTATAACCAATAGAAGGGAATTGGTATGATAAATGATAACACATCTGAATGATAGAATACATATGATACAATATGATAGAATACTATGCAGCCATTTAAAAATATAACGATAAATGACATGATACCATAACAACCTAAACACAAGTTTATATATCTAATGAAAAACAAAGTCACAAAATAGTACTTATGTTATCTACTTGTGTAAAATATATAATCAGCCTTGCATACCTGAGAGTTCTGCATCCACAGATTAAACCAACCATGGATCAAAGATATTTTCATAGAAAAATTGTGTCTGTACAATATGTACCATCTTTTTCCAGTCATGATTCCCTAAACAATGTGGCATAACTATTTACATAATATTTATATTATATTAGATATCATAAGCAATCTAGAGATAATTGAAAGTGTCAGTGGGATGTGCATTTATTATATGCAGATACTTCACTTCTTACATAAGAAACTCGTGCATCCTCAGACTTTGGTATCTTCAGGGATCCTAGACCCAATCCCCCATGGATAGCAAAAGATAACTGTATACATAGGTACAAGTGGTTGAGGATATACTCTAATTGTTAACAGTATTTACATCTGGATGATGTCATTATTGGTGTTTAATGGTTTTGCTTTTTAAATTTTTTTCTCTACTTGTATTACTGCTTTTATAATAAGAAACAAATAATTGAAGTTTTTTTTTTCTTATTTGAGACCAGTTTCTAAAACTTTTGTGTGCACAAAAAAAGATGTTTCCCTTACTCCACCAAAATGAAATGGGGACAAGAAGAATGGCTGTCTATCATCTTCTAGATTCCATGTGTGCTCCTTCATCCACACCTCCAAATAAAAGGGGTCATCAGAGTGTAGCAAAGAGCATAAGGGAAAGCACTTTCTAAATTTAATTCAAAATGTGGTACCTCCAGCCTAGCAAAGGAAGAGAGTATGCCCCAACCCCTCTAATAGTGGACATGCACAGCTCCCTCCATAGAAGTCATGGGGGCCTCCTCTTGAGAGAGGAAGGCTAGTAGGGAAGAAATACCAACTCTCCTTTCTGTAATCATTTTTGTTGCTGTGTAACAAATTTCCCCCAGTACAGTAGGTTACAACAGCACACCTGCATGGTGTCTCACAGTTTCCGAGGGCCAGAAGTCTGGGAGTGATTTAGCTCAGTGGTCCTGACTCAGGGTCTCTCATGAGGTTGACTCCACCCTCAAGTGCACCTGCATGGTTATTGGTGGGCTTAGGCCCTCACTGTCTGGCTACAGGTCTTAGTTCCTTACCTCATGGCCTCTCCACTCACAGTCTGCCTGTCCTTGTGATGTGACAGCTGGCATCCTGAATGAGAGATCCAAGAGAAAGCACTGACTATGAGACCTGCAGTGTCTTTTAAGACTTAATCTTGTAAATGAACTTCACTCTGGTTTCGCTGTACTGGTTGCCCCAACTACCCCTGTCCTGTTACGGGCAGGTACTGCAAAAAGGGGTGCTCCCTGGGAGGCATGGAGGGTCCAGGACCAGCTTGGAGGCTGCTGACCACTTTGACCACCAAAGGCCTGACCACCTGGCTGGAACACCCATCACCATCACCTCTGCAGGAAACCTGGGGCCTCAGGAGCTAAAAGTCATCTTAAAGATAGAAAGTTAGGACAACATGATTGCAAGAGAAAGCACTGAATCCACAAACGCTCTGATGAGCCATTTTTGTTATCATTTAAATAAAACAACAGTTAGTGAAGAGACCAACAATGACACGGTAAGTTAAAGGTAACGGGTCCTGTACACTCCATTTCCATTCATTATGCTTTGCTTACTGGAGACTTTTCAGACCACCTAGCCAGCAGTTTTCAGATTCTTGTAAATTGGGGCTGGGGTGTAGCTCAGTGGTAGAGTACATACCTAGCATGCAAGAGGCCCCTGGGTTCTGTCCCCAGCACCACGAAAAGAAAAGAAAGGGAGAAAGTAAGCAAGAAAGAAGAGATTCTTAAAAATTTATATTGCTTAAGTGCAAGTACTGTGGATACCAAAGAGGCTCCTTCTCTGTGTCTAGCCCAGTGTGCGATGTTACAGCCACTCTGGTTAATGTGCTCCACTTGCTCTGGCTATTGTCCTAAAGGCACAACTTTTCCCAAAGGCAATTTGCTAGTCAGTTAAGCAGAGAGGTGAAGGGAACCACAATCCCTCACAGCCTGTCATCAAAGAGTTTAAAGCCTCAGAGTGGCTCGTCTACTTGGTTCCAAAGCACGTCAGAACACAGCAACCCCAGGCCCTTGGTTCCACAGAGCCCCATGCCCTCCTCAGCACCTGGCCTGCTGGCCCCTGCAGGGAAGGCTGGACCTTTTGCCTACTCTGGGTCTCTACACCTGCCCCAAGGCCACACTATATTAAGTTCTACTGCCAGGGCCACCTCCTCTCCTCCCTTGGCCCTTTCTAGCTTGTAATTCATTTTGAAAAGTATCACTAGCAAGGTAGTTCCCACTTCCACACACTGCCCCCTACATTCTAGAAGGTAATCTAAGGTATCAATTACAATGAAAGGAAGAATCAATGTGACCTTTTATACTCTTCTAAGGATTGGACTATAAGATTGCTTTATAACCCCAGGGTTTACAGAAGACTATTTATTAGACTTGTTAAGTAAATGCATGAAGAGTGAGGCAAGGGTAACTTTAAGCCTACTAGCCCTGTTTGCCAAAATGAAACTGGCAATGCCATGATGTCCCCATCCCCGCTTCTGCCCCACGACCCCTCCAAAAAAATTGGCCAATGGAACTGTACAGTAAGGGGACCCACAGCTGAGGTCGCTACTGTCCTCCTATTGTTCAATTCTGTGCCTCTTGGCATCAGAAGACCTAATAATGCATCTCAACTCAGGTGTCTTCTTATCACTACGAACCACATCTGCATTAGGAGGCTTGGATCGGGTAACAAGACAGGAAGAAAAATCTTCCAGAGGAGATACAGAATGTATTTAGAGGGGAAGAAAGGGGTGTAGTGTGTGCATAGTTGACCTGCTTACAGATTTCAGAGAGACAGGTTGGAGTGAATCCAGGAGACCCAGTGGTGGCTCTCCTGTCCTGGTAAATGTGGTACCAGCAGCAGCATAGCAGGTGTGTAAATTCTGTATTGGTTGGGACTCTCCCAGTGGCCAAGTGACAAAAGCTGAATTCAAGTGGCACGTCTATACAATGGAATATTACTCAGCCATAAAGAAGAATGAAATTATGCCATTTGCTAGTAAATGGATGGAACTGGAGACTATCTTTCTAAGTGAAATAAGCCAATCCCAAAAAACCAAAGGCTGAATGTTCTCTCTGGTATGTGAATGCTAACACACAATAAGTGGGGAGGGAGAATTGGAGTACTTTGGATTAGACAAAAGGGAATGAAGGGAAGAGAGGTTGAATGGGAATAGGAAAGACAGTGGGATGAATCAGACATAGCTCTCCTGTGTGCACATATGAATACACGACCAGAGGGACTCCGCATGCACAACCACAAGAATGGGAAGTACATTCCATGTATATATGATATGTCAAAATACACTCTACTGTCATGTATAACTAAAAAGAACAAATTTTTTAAAGTTGAATTCAAACTAGCTGGACAATGGAGGCAGGAACTTAAAGGAAAGATTTGGATGCTGTGAGAATTCTCCACCCTCAACCCCCATCCTTATCTCTGTTTTTCTCTCTCTGTATAGATTTTGTCTTCTCTTCCTATAGAAAGTGACCTTCACACAGCCGTGGACATGGAAGTCCATCTCCCTGAGTCACAGTCACAGACTCTGTGGCCACAGAACAAAGGGCTCTTCTGAGAGGTCCAGTGGGAAGTTCTGGGGTAGGACTCTCTTAGGTGCCAGGTTCACCTCCACACTAGTCCCTTTAGCCAAGAGGCCAGCTGAGTTAGCAAAAGATGGAGCAGAAGGGCTGACAATAGCCCCTACAAGCATGTGGGTCTGGGCTGGGATGGTGTTTTGCTTCCAGCCCACTCCCTGGCTGTGTTGTCAGTCTAACCTTTACTCTCATCATCTTCAAAATAGGGATATATTAATACCAGCCACAATTCTGTTATAAAGATTTAAATGCAATGATGCATATAAATACTAAATTCCACATGTGGCACATAGCAAATGTTTGGAAAGTCTATTTTCTATTTTGGCCATTATTAATGCTTTGCTATTTGCTCAACAGAGAAACCAAACTATAGTACCTGGACCCTTAATTTGCACCCAAAGGATGGCTTTGTGTACCTGCCAACAATCCCCTACTTCTTTAGACAGAATGATGTTGGGTAACATACCATAAAATACTACAAATCACACACAACAGAAGGTGTGGGAGGGTTCACAATGGTCAGAACCAGAATCATCCAATTTAGGATTTAAAAGAACTACTTGAAGCCAGGCATGGTAGCGCACACCAGTAATCCTAGCAGCTCTGGAGGCTGAGGCAGGAGGATCACAATTTCAAAGCCAGCCTCAGCAACTTAGGGAGGTCCTCAGCAACTTATCAAGACTCTCTCAAAATTAAAAGTAAAAAGGGCTGGGGACTTAGCTCAGTGGTTAAGCAACCACGGGTTCAATCCTGTTACCAACAAAGAAAGAACTCCTTGATATTTCAGATAGTAAAACTGAATCGTCCACCTGCCTAGAGTCAGGAAACATAACTTAGTGCACAAGATTCTGTTGCTATGGAGAGAGAGCATGCTAGATTTTCAGGCAACAAGAAGACTCTGTTGATCTTGCCTGAGCTGGTGTTGATCTGCTGTCAGGCCTCTTCTTGACCATCTGTAAAATGGGGCTGATGAGATTCCTCTCCTCCTCCCACTGGGAGGAACAGCGAGACTAAATGAGGCACCGTTGGTGAACTGCTGTGGGCTCCTCTAATAAAAGGCTCTATGCAGGTGCTTGGCTTTGTTAAACTCTTCCTGGTTGTCAGGTTTAGAGTGAGGAGCTGCTTGGCGCCACTTCAGAGAGTTGCTAAGAAACACAGACACAGTAAATGTTCTTTTTCAAAACTGAGATCACATTGGGAGTTGGTGCAGTCACTGCCTTGACCTGTGAGACCTCATGCCCAATCATTGACACCGTTCCTCGTCATGGTTTGAGAACTGCAATTAGACCAAGTGAACTTTGGCTGGATTACTATTCTGTTAACAATAGGAGGCCAAGTAATTGCATGCTGTACAGCAGTTGATTGAAAAAAAAAGTTTATTAATAATACACTAAAAAGACAATAAAATCATTATAAAGGCATAAACCCAATGTAGGTTAGGCCCAGCAGATATTGACTTGTGCCAGCCGATTGTAAGATTTTTTTAGGAATTTTTCTAGCTGGATGTGAAACAGTCATTTTAAAAACTAAACAAGGCCAGGCTCAGTGGCGCCCACCTATAATCCCAGCTTCTCAGGAGGCTGAGACAGAAAGATCTTGAGTTCAAAGCCAGCCTCAGCAAAAGCAAGGTGCTAAGCAACTCAGTGAGACCCTGTCTCTAAATAAAATACAAAATAGGGCTGGGGATGTGGCTCAGTGGTCGAGTGACCCCGAGTTCAATCCCCAGTACACAACAAATCAAAAAAACTAAAATGATATATGCTTACAATTTTTAAAATACATTAAAAGCAAAGCTAATAAATTCTCAAAACTTACAATTTTCTAATACTTTTATAACTATGTTTTCTCTAGAGGTTACTAACCAGCATTGCTCACATCAGTTGTCCCGGGTTAGTAGAAATCTCACATACTGAGGTGCTACTTTGCATTTCTTTCCAACTGCATATCCAGAGATGTCCTTTCCGTGCCTTCAAATTGGTCACAGTAGAAGTATTTATACCTCGGCAGTCAGACTGCTGCAAATCAGGTACCTCACTTTATCCAAGAGTCATTTGTGGACTGTTTACCAGCACACCACTGTAGACAAAGAGAGAACAGGAACAGAGACGACAGAAGGAAATAAAAAAGCTGGTGAATGAAAAGTGATGAATTTAACACAGAATATAAAACTGAAATCTAAACTCCCAAAAGGGGAACCCAAAGAGGCAAACCAGCTATACCACAAAACCTTAGAAAAAACAGATGCTGGTCCCCTCTGTAGAACTTGGGTACAGATGTGCTGAAAATAAACGTGTTGAACATTTGTGCCAGAAACACTCTGACTCCCGTTGTTTCTTCTCATCCCTGTGTGCACCTATGAGGAAAGGTTGAATCATAGAGGGACTGGACTGGAGGACACTGGGCACAGCTGAGAACTTGCTTGCCATACACTCTGGAAACAGAGAACTAAAAGTCTGTGCTCTGAACACGAGTGGCGTGACTCTACTTTGTGTACAACCAGAGATATGAAAAATTGTGCTCTATATTTGTAATATGAATTGTAATGTGTTCTGCTGTCATACATAACAGATTAAAATAATTTTTTTAAAAAAGTATGTGCTCTGAATTGTGAGATTCCACAGTCCCCTTCCCCCTTCTCTGCTCCCATAATGCTGGCAATGGGGCTTTAACACCACAGGCAGAAGATTAGAGGATTCACTGCTGGGGAAACTGGCCAGAAAGACTACAGAGAATGGTCTAGCAAGATGCCTTAGTGAAACATTCAAGTGTCTGCAGAATCACCCCACAGTGAGACTCCTAGTTGACAAGCTTCACCCATGTACACATTACTTGAGTGCAGCAATCACCAGACATTTCAGGGAAGACTCTAACACGCACACACAAAAAATATATTTTCAAAGTATAGTTCTATGCCTGAATAAGCCATCAGGTGCAACGGGAGAGCAGAGACATTATTGCAAGGTCTCTAAATATTTACCTGCCATGAACCCTTTCTCCCAAAGCCACTGGAGGATATGCTCCAACAAAAGGAAGAACTGGCCAAGAAAGAAGATACAAGCTCCAAGAAACAGAGGATCCAACACAAGATACAAGGAAAGAAGATTCCCAAGAGGGGGTTCAAGGAAGCTCTGGGGTCACAACAGTGGGCCTGAGAAGCCTGTCTGAGTTTGGAGCATGATGATAGTTCCAGGAAGATGTCCTCACATGAAACGAAAGGCCACAGAGAGATGACCAGTGTGTTCATCACACAAAGGGAAGCTCAGGGATGAACTATTTATATGTATGTATATATATATATATATATATATATATGCATATATATGTATATATATATATATATATATATATATATATACATAAAATAAGAAGATAAAGCAATTATTAACTCCAGAGAGCAAAAGATGTACAGAGAAATGTAATCACAGTTCACTGTCAACAATATTTACATGGTCAAAACAATGTTAATACTTGCAAATACTAACCCAGTGATTTCCTTAGATGTGATGTCCTGACTCATAATAAATATTTTTAAAACCATGTTTTCCCCATTGTAAGGTCTTGAAAATCAGAACACATCTTAATGTCGTTATGATAAAAAAGTATCATATCATGGTGTAATTGGAAGCATTCTTCTTCTATTGTGGCACCTAATAAAATAATGGTAAATTTCATCAACATTTGCAGCTAAGATAGGAAGAAATACAAGAACTCTCCTCGAAAGTGAGGGACAAGTGGGCCTGGAGACAGGAAGAGAAAGCTAACCCTTCATTTCCATAACAAGAAGTCAGCAGATTATATCTACAATTATTATTTAGAGTGATTACTGCTAATTTCTGCAGAACAACTAAAATCAGAGGGCGGATGACTCCGCACAGCATGATTGGGCCAGGAAGCTCCTAGGTTGCAATGGTTCTAGGAGGGCTGAAGGTATCTGATTTGAAGCCAGACATATGTATTAGAAGTAAAAATATTATGAACAACAACAAAAAAAAAACCACGTACTGAAGCTCTGCCATCTCGAGCCTCACCTGAACAGGTGTCAGGCTGTGAAAGGCAAGAGGAATTTCTAAGAGTTTCTCCATCAAGACAGGCGCCCAACCCGTCCTCACTGTCCTTCTGAGCGGGTTGCAGGAAGCCAGGCCTCCAGAGCGATGTGCACGTTGGTTCCCTGTCACCTCTGCCTCTCATCTTAGAACACGCCACCGCCGGCTGATTTCTCACGCTCCGGAGTTCATGGAGCTGGTCTTGGGAGAAAGTGGTAACCGCAGCGCGCATGCCACGCTTTTCTAAAGGTCTTGTTACTCAGAGCCCTGAAGGATGAGAAAGGAAGCCGGCCGTTGGCTTGGCAGGTGGGGAGCCTCCTTCACGTCGACATCTGTTCGTGGTTCGGGAAACCCAGGCCCCTCCTGTTTTGCAGAGGAAGAGCCCTGGATGCCTGACGCAGAGAGGCATCCGCTCCTGCGGCGCCCAGCCGGGAAGATTGACAGCGGCGTCCGGAACAGGAGGGTGATAGAGCGAGAGGAAGATTCCTCCTGATAAAGCAGAAACTGCTCGTTCCTCAGATGTCAGGGTTGCACATGAGCTTCTGCAGGCAAAGAGGCCACCCAGCTGTACGCCAGGACATTCTGGCACGGCCGGCTGGTGCAGAACAGCCATCTGCAGACGCTCCCAGGAATCTGGCTGGGCAGAGATGGGGAACACGCACCAGGGAGTGCGAGGCACCCTGAGAAGCGGACGGGACCACTGGCTTTCCCCCAGCAGGGCTGATTCAGCTGCTGTGAATGCCGCAGCCAACCACAGACTGATGGAAACTGTCCCGATGGTAAACAGCCCCGGCCCCTCCCCGGGCCCCACACCTCCCCACCCGCCCGCGACCAAAGGGGGAAACATATGGCCCAGCAGGGGGCCTCCTGGAGCTGGCTGCAGAGGCCCAGCGGTGACAGCTCTGATTGGTCAGGCCGCCTATTAAATATTTTAAACATCGCTCCCCACTGCCAGATCTGTGAGAGGCCGGAGCGGCCACTTCCTGCAGAAATTCCTCCACCTCCCTCTCCCTCCTCCATTTCTCCGTAGCTCAGTGTTTGCCAGTTTAGAACAATTGAGAGGGAGAGGGAGAGAGACAGACAGACAGACTGTCTCTATCTAGTAAAATGTCTTTTCCTTTGCCTAAGAAAAGAAGCCCTTTTCTTATTCCCAGGGGGCTGCTGGTGCGCCAGACTCCAAGGAAATTTTCCTCTGTGCTCTTCTTCTGCTGTCATAACTTGTTTATCATGATGAAATTAGGCCCAAATAGCCAGGGACTGCATCATAAAAGGGGAAAATAAAGTTACTGGAGGCAGGCAAGCAGGCCCAGGGATGCGCCAGGGGACAGGGAACAGGAAGGGCCTGGGTGATATATATGCATAGCCCAGGCTTGCTGAAGCAAATTCTTTAACCCCGACTGCCAGAGGACCTCTTTGCTTCAGCCTACCCACCTCTCAGCTGCCACTCTGGATTTTCAGCCCCTGCAGGAGTGGGACCCACAAGGTCCTGAGGATATTCTGGGCTTCTCTCATGAAGCCATAGAGGGGACCGTGTTTCTCCTAAGTGGGAAGTTTAGCTGGTCTCTTACCCTTTGATGGAGGCAGGCCCAGATGTGGCCAGTGGAATCACTCCTGGCTGGGTTAGGGCAATATAGGGTTGGGGGAGGGGAAGACATCCTTTGGGACTCTGGAAAGACTTCTGATAAGGAAAACCATTCAATCTGTTACATCTATCACCACAGAAAATATTTTCCTGTTTTCCAAGTTATGAGACTTCAGCAAATGTAGTAAATGGTCTTTGGGGCTTGATTTTGTTGCTTTTTGCTTGTCTTTATGTGAAATCAGTGGCAGGCTGCATAGTGGAAAGGGCCCATCCAGTAAGGACTCAGAAAACCATAGTCAACCTGTAATCTCTCCAGCCATCTCTTCCTGAAATAAAAATAGTGCTTCACTGCCTCCCCGGTTATGGTGAGTAGCAAATTTCACCCAGTTTGTAAAATGCCTTAATAAGTATAGACACATGCATGGAAGGAATTCTGATGCTCTTTTATTCTAGGAAACTAGTCTGTGCGTAAGGGACACTCACGCAGCAAAGGCAGGGAGCAGCTTAGCAAAGCTGGCCTCTTAACAATCAGCCTCCCTTCCTTTCCACCCATTCCCTATACCCGCTCCCGACGCCCAGCATGCTATACTCCCACTGCTTTGTGGGACAGGGCCTCATTGTGCAGGGCTGCCTCTGTGGGCATCGCTCTCCCTCACATCACATTGCTCCTCCTGTGGTGTGTGGGCTTCAGTTTGCCCAGGAACACCCCCAGTTCTGCTGTGGTACCACCCACAACCTGGGTCTGCAGGGGGTGAGGAACCAGATGGCCAGGGGAGGAAGAAGCAATAAGGAACTCGGCTTGTCTAACCTGGGGAAGAGGCGGTTTAAGGCGCCCATCGTAGACAGTCTCTAATGCATCCTTTTAGAGAAACAAAGATTAGAGAGGTTCTGTACAGCTTTTTGGATAAAACCTAAACATAGGGTCATGTACATCCTTCTATCACCTAAATGGAATTATTCTGTACATCTTATTGAGCCATTATTTTCTTTTCTCACAAATTGGTATGCTTTTGAGGTTTTTCCCTCTCAATGTGTGAGAATGGTTTAATTTTTTTAACAGCCACCTGGAGTTTCATAGTACAGATATTATCAGTCCCCTGGTTAAACATTTAAATTATTCTCAGCCTTTGGCTGCAATGAGCGTCTTTGCACACATGTCTTTGAACCCATGGGGACTGTTTCTGTCCAATAAATTGTTATAGGTAGAATTGCTGGTCAAAGGGTGTGCATTCTTAATTTTGATAGATACAGCCATAATAAGTAGATTTTACTTTTAAGTAAAAAAACATTTTTAGCAACCAAAACTGCCCCAAAATGGTGTGGACCACTTTAGGAAGTTGTGAGTGTCAGAAGAGAATCAAAAGCAGGCCACAAACCAACTTGTCAGGAAGCCGTTGAATATAATCAAGCACTGTGAACTCACAGATGACAAAAGTCCCTTCGAACTCAGATATCTTTTTTAATTTTTAAAAATTTTAATTGACAAAAATCATTATCTATTATGTACAACATGTTTTGAAATATGTGTTCTCTAGCCGTCTAATAATAAGTATAGCCCTAGAGGCTCGACATATTTTTGTTGAACATTGTTCAGTGGTAAACTGAAAGGGACAGGAAGGAGGCGGGGCAGTGCGACACATTCCAAAAGTAGCTGTTGGGCAAAGCAACGCTCTGGTATAAAGAGTTCGCCAGTGGTATGCTTATACTGTGTGGGGCCTGGATAATGGTCCAGGGGGTATGCAGGGAGCCCCTCCTTGTCCTCTCTGTTGTCACTCACATTGTCCACATCTGGAATTCCACATATGAAAAAATGCTGATGGCAAATATGTCTCAAAGGCAGAGCTCTCTGGCCATCGGTAGCCATTAGGTCAGCATCCCCAACCGCAGAGCGTGGAGTGTTCCTACCGCCATAGGTAATTGAACACTGGAGGTTTTCCAGTGGGAAGAAGTTCCCTCCCTTACAAGTCAACACATTTCATTTTTTGGAAGGAGTTTTCTTAGATCCTTGGGCAGAAATCTGTTTCCCTTTAAAGTCTGTTTCTTGATTTCAATTCTTCCTTTTAGAACCATTAAATTACATAATTTTCTTGCTTCTACATACCAGGCCTTACCATATCTAAGGACAGCCAATAGATGCCAACTTGGTCCTCTCTCCTTTGGGTTCAGCCTCAGTTCTTTCGACCGTTCCTTCTGAGTCATGTTTTCCAGACGTTCATCGTCTTAGTTGCTGATTTTGAACACCTTCCCCCTCAAGTAGTCATCTCCCTCTTGGAAGTGTTGCCCAGAATTTGGCCAGTTCTAAGAAAGGGTATGGTGGAATCATTCCTCTGTTTCCCCTGCTCCTTTCTAAAACCTGCATACCAGAGAGCTCTTGCTTTGGCCTAACAACATGCCTCAGGGTGAAAGCACCCTGACTTCCTGGAATTATTCTTCCTTTTCTAAGGAATCTTGTTTCTCCCTGTGTCCTCCCATGGGGAAATGGTAGCACCTCGAACCCAGCTAAGCCATTCAGACTCTGGCTTCCAGACTTTTCAGCCTTTGGGAGAATGATGTAACAGAAAAGAGTGGAACAGAGAAATTCCAATGGAGGACAAGGGTCTTCTTCCTGAGGGAGTATGGTTCTTCAACATCCAACAACTATTTCATCCTTTTCCAGAAAATTCCTTTTCTGATATAGAGTCTGGGTCACTTGCTTACAAGCAAAGAACACTGACCCAGATGACCCTGTCCTGTCCCAACCCCAATAGAGTTCCCCGTGGGCTCGAGATCCCTAAGTCTATTTTGCAGTTGCTGCCATTAAACTGCATGTTGCTCTCCCCCCACCCCTGCCCACAGCCTCTAACCGGCTGCCTTCTCCACCTGGGCCCAACCCCTCAGGATAAATCCTGAGGAGTGCATTTGTTGAGTTGTAGGAGCAGCATCTCAGACATGTCGAAAAAGATGTTTTGATCCCAATAATAATGAGAGAAAAGGCCAGAGAGAGGTGTTCTGAACAAGTTCAAAGACTGCAACCCAACATACAGAAACTGTGAGCCATCTACTGACTAAAAATGCACTCATCCAAAGAAATGAAATCAGCACATCAAAGAAACATCTGCACTCCCATGTTCATCGCAGCGCTATTCGCAATAGCCAAGAAATGAAAACAACTAAGTGTCCATCAATGGGTGAATGAATAAAGAAAATGTGGTACATAAACATATATTTTTTTAAATCTCTAAATGCTATTCAGAGATTTTTAAAGAATGAAATCCCAACAGTGGCACACACTTGTAATCCCAGCTACCCAAAAGACTGAAGCAGGAGAATCAGAAGTTTGAGGCCAGCCTTGCCAATCAAGCAAGACCCTGTCAAAACAAAACAAACCAAAAAAACCCCACAAAATCCTGTCATTTGCAACAACGTGTATGGAACTGGAGAGCATTATGTTAAGTGAAATAAGCTAGGTGCTAAAAGACAATGATTTCACTTATATGTAGAATCTAAAAAAGTCAATCTCATAGAATTGAGAGAAGAATGGTGGTTACCAGAGGCTAGGGAGTATAGGAGTATAAGAGAGATAGGGAAAGGTTGATTGATGGGTACATAGTTATAATTAGGAGCAAGAAGTTCTGGTGTGCACAACAGATTGTAGAAAACAATAGTGTACTGTAGATTTTAGAACACTAGAAGAAAAAAATTTGGAAGTTTTTACTACAAAGAAATTGTGTTTGAAAAGAGAGATGTTAAACCTGATTTAAACATCACATCAAGTGACTCCATTAACATGTACAATTTTTATATATCTAGTTAAAAAATAAATTCAATTACAAATGGATTAAAAAAATTGCATGTTGACAGTTCTGCACTTGGAAAGGTGATTTGGGACAAAAACACAGCCCTTGGAGATCATGGGTTTCCTCTTCTTAGTTCCTGTTTGCTATTGCCTGCTGATTTGGCTAACTTGCCATCAGAGTTTCCAATTAAGTCACTGGCAAAAATGTAAAAGAATATGCATCATCATAGCCTGTGTGTACGGACAGCTTACTATGACCACCTTTCAAGGTCAGGAAATCTGTATAGTCAGAGAGATTACCCAATCGCCTCATACGTGATGGAGCTGAGGTCAAACCCAAGTCTGTCAGACTGAAACCAGGGAGCTGGGTCCCCTTAGAACCCACAGTCCACAAGACACTTGGGGGACTGGCTGCATCTTCAACTG